ACTTTGATGATAGAGTGGCCTTGAACTTGGGAAGCTAGAATGAAGGAAGCATTTCTTCCTGGCATTTTTTTCCTAGATAAAAATGACTTAAGTGTAGGGAATTATAGGCCATTGAGAGATCAAACCAAATATCGCTGAGTGTTTGTGGACTGCCAGGGAATTAAATATCAGTGGTACTTGGATGTCATATCTTGTTAGATTAGGGTAAGAAATTCCATCTTTATTTTGAAGAAAATTAGCAGCATTAATTTCCAGAAGCATAGTATGACTATGGTTTGTTAAGTGAGTTTGAAAGAGAAGTAACATGGAAGGCCGGGGAGGATAATATGTATACATTTCCAAGGATTAAAGGTGAAGTAATTTTGCCTTTGGAGTCATATGGTCTGTGTTAAGACTATGCAGCTATGGCTCTATAATACAAAACGAGATACAGACACAGGAAATAAATAGGTAAACGAGTGGATGTAGTTATGTTCTAATAAACCCTAAGCCCTTCTGGAGATGTTCTTGGAGGATAAAAAGATACATATCTTTCCTTCCTTTTCTCTGGGTTCCGTTGCACTCTATACTGAAAACTGATATTCTGGATAATGACTTCATTCGAGGCAATAGTATTTCTACTTAACAAAAGAAGTGGTCACATCTGTTCTGAAGGACAAGTAAGGAAGGTTTAAACTAGTGTGGCAAGGGATGGAGAGGAGGAACAGGGTGAGGAACATTATTGGTACTGGGGGGGGGAGAGTTACGGTAACAGAGGGCCCTGAGGGGGGAGTATGAGATTATTGGTACTGGGGGGGGGAGAGTTACGGTAACAGAGGGCCCTGAGGGTGGAGTATTTTTGAGAGAGGGAAATTATTGCAATTTGTACATGTTGAGTTTGATGCGAAAGGCAAATGAGATAATGTAGGAAAAAGTGCTTCACAGCCTGTGAAGTGTTTCAGAAATGGATGGGTTATTTTAAGAGGAAATGGCTAAGACCATTTTTGTGACTCACCTTAAGCCCATCAACACTCCGGCATAAACAATCAGAACACATGAGCTGTGAATTGTAGGACAGCCCTATCATATTTCTAGGTTAGCCCCATGCTATTATGTTATTTCCACTGCTGTTATTTTCTCTGAAACAAGAGGCAGCTGCTCCTATAGCTTGGTATAGGTGAATTAAGTCCCACAGCAGCCTTGGCAGACCCGAAAGATGCAGAGTTGTGTCTACACAGAGCTTTGACCAGCTCTGAACTGGGGAGTATAAAATGGAGGATGTGTTTTCTCCCAGCTAAAAATTATTCAAGTGTAAGAAATCACTTAAAAAATACTCCAGGACATTTGACAAGGGATTGGAAATTAATATAGAAATGGCCCTTGCATGCTCTAGCTGAGGTGGCACTGGGCTATGAAATGACTTTTATTTCATAGGACCTTAGGAAATGTTTGAAGCTGAGTGTGACAGTAGGTGCTATGGGGGGGGGTAGAGGGGAGATTCTCAGTACAGAAGCAAGGGAGAGAATTCTGTAAGTCCTCCTCAGATGAGTTTGTTTTCTTCGGATCTCATATCTGTGTTTCTTTATCTGATGCTTAAAAAAAGCATGGAGGTCCTAAAGGTTTTTACTCCAGGGGGTTTATCTGCTGAAAGTAGTAGATATGGCAGGATGTGTGCCATGGAATTGCCCCTGCCTTCTGATCTTACTTCTACTTTGATTTTGTTGCAGTTATTTTCGTGTCATTGGAAGCCAGATGGCCTAACCCATTAAACTCATTGCAAAATGGGGGAGCTAATTCCCTAACATGGGTAAGGTTGACTCTATCACCTTGCATGTCTGAAGGAAGAATGAATGTCGTAGGCGCATAGTAACTCTCAATAGAGCTGAACACACAGGAGACAAGGATGAGTCTTAACCTAATGCTGAGGGTTATCAGCGTGGCCTCGGAAAACCAGTAGCCCAGCTATAGTATTGAGCTACGCTTTTCTCAGCTATGTAGCTGTTATGTAGGTTATTGGTTTCATTGTGACTCAGGCCTCTGTTTTAAAGTGGAAAAACAACTGTTATGTTTTGAATATAACACACCCCCTCAAAGACATGTATGAAAGGCTTAGCTACCATCTGTGGCATTGCTGAGACAAGATTAGATTACTAGACTTCATCAATGATGAGTTCATTATTCCTAAACAGACAATGAGCAGGTGGAGTCTAGTTGAAGGAAGTTGGTTAGTATGGTGTATGGTGTATGGTGTTCCTGACCCTTCCTCTTTGTTTTCTCTGCTCCTGGTGACTTGTGGTGAGTAGTTTGCTCTTCAAAATGATGATTCCACCTGACCTTAGGACTGGAAACCTTGGAACCAAATGACCGTGGTTGAACCCTCTAAAATCATGCCTCTAAGTAGATCTTTCTTTAAGTTCTTTATCTTAGGTATTTTGTCTTGGAAGCAGGGAGAAAACAAACACATCTTGATGCCTACCTGGAAGGTAGTTTAAAAGTTACACTTTGCTATATTTGAAGCCCGAGTTGCTAAAAGCAACAGAGCAATGTGAATCTAGAGAAGGGGCCAAAGTTTGAAATGTTAAAATTTAGTGTATTTGGCAGAGGTAGAGTCAAGAGTGTGTCCAGTTTCAGGATGTACTCACTCCTAAGTGGATACCAGAAATAAAGCAATGATACCCAGCCTACAATCCACAACCACAGAGAAGCCAGAACCCTCTTTTAGAAACAAATGGAAGCAGATGCAGAAATCTACAACTAACCAATGGGCCAAGCTCTTGGAGCACAATGGAAGTGAGGGAAGAGCATTAATATGAACAAAGGAGTCAAGACCAAGATGGGAAAACCCACAGAATCAGCTGGCCTGAGCTAGTGAGAGATCACTGACTCAGGTCTGACAAATGAGGAACCTGCATAAGACCGAACTAGACTCCGTTAATATAGGCGACAATGGTGTAGTTGGGACAATATATGAGGCCACTGGCAGTGGGTCCAAGATCTATCTAACTCTAATGCACAAACTAAGTGGAGCCCATTCTATATGGAGAGATACCTTGCCCTCGGTGGTGTGGGGGGGGGGGGGGGGGGGGAGATAGAAAGGTGCCTTGGTCCTGTCTCAATGAGACGATGGGACAGACTTTGTAGACTTCCTAGGGGAGGCCTTACCCTCTCCGAGGAACAGATGTGAGGTGGTGGGGGCTTGTGGGGATTAGGAGGAGAGGAGGGAGGAGAAACTGAGATTGGAATGTAAAAAATTAAATTAATAACAAATGAAAAAAAACAAAAATAAAAATATGAACAAAGAAAATTCAGATCCCAGAACTGATGGAGAAAATAGAATAACAGTGTCACAAAGACACTGAAAAGTCAGGGTGTGGCTTTGCTGCTTATAACAGTAGGGCAACAATTCCTAATCCCAAAGATATTGTCCCAATATGTGTGGCAGGTGCCTGAAAAGATGGATAGCACTAAATGCTGCATAGATGGTATATATGCCTGCATGTCCTGCAGCTGCCACCTAGAATCAGAATTGAACTGTTCTCCAATGCTTTGTGACCTGCTGCAGTCTTTTAAATATTATTGTGGAACTTAGGAATTATTAAGTAAAATAAAGATTAGCTGGACACAAGCACAGGGATTCTATGGCAGTCTATCTTGAAAACTGAGATGGTCACTGTCTAATGGGTGGGTAGTGTGTAATCCTATACATGCTCTACAAAGGGGTGAATCATGTCCCAGTCAAGACAGGAAGGGATAACACAAGACTTTATTGTGCTACCCAGAGCAGTGTGCGACTTAAAATGTTTACTTCTGTAATTTTCCGTCTAATATTTCTAGCTGTAGTTGCCCGTATGGTTATTGAGCATCAAAGAAAGACCATCTTGATGATACAGATCATCACCAGGGAAGATGCTTGAATTGAATCCGTGGCCCAGAGTGAACTTAGCAAGTGTTTTATCACTGAGCCATACCCCCAGGCCTCCTTTACTTCTTTTTAAGTGCCAGCTATTCTCTCTGGGTGTGTCTCATTTCCTGCAGAGTTAGTCCACCTATCTTTAAAGGCAGAATCTCTAGTTAGCCTGATTTTCTCTTTTAAGCTAAGTTGGACACTGTAGTGTACAATCTACTCATGCGTCACAAAACTTAGGAGCTTTGACTTGCAATTAAAAAAATTATACTGCTATTTGGAACAAACTCCAGAGACAGGCATCTTTGAAAGAGTGACAAACCTTAAATCAGCTACCCAAGGAGAGGGTGGCATACTACTTCAAGTGGCACCATTAATGCTAAAAATATTCTAAGTCATTTGGTGTCAAGAAATCACTGAAAGTTGTCACTGTACAAAAGAGGCCAAAGGTGTTTGAAGAATTCACTAGTGTGTGGAGATGATAAAAACATGGATGTATAAACCAAAAACAGTATGTTTCATAAGTTCCTAGAGAGTATAATAGCCTGATTGAAAAGTTGACTTTTAACTGGAATATTTGGGGTAGAGTTAAAGGAGAAGCCACAGCTGGCCTTAAGGGGTCTGACACTGCAAGGGCATGAAAGGCCAAGTACAAGATTTGCTCCAGCCTCCATTCTGTTTCCTTTCCTTATCTTCATAATCTGTCCTTTTGACTGGCCAGACACTGTAAGCTATTCCCTGGCTGCCTCTGAGGTATTTTTCCACCCCACAGTAAAATCATCCCTGGACTGTTCCATAGTCAGCATTTTCCTGATGTTTGGATATCAATCATACTTTTTTTCTCTCATTTATTCCAGGCTGGCCTTGAACTAACTATGAAATCAAGAATGACCCTGGGAACAAGAATCCCTGGAAAGAAGTTGTTTCTACTGTATTTTTTAAGTGCCTTGATTTAGCTTTCTTTATTACACACACACACACACACACACACACACACACACACACACACACACACACACACGCACCAAACTGCTTCCATATTGGAGCATTTTATTTGGTGTGACCTAAATCCATGTTCTCAGGCCATGGTCACTTATATCTTGCTCCTGGATCAACCATGTCCTCTGTTCCTTTGAGGTGAGAACTGTTTCCTTCAATGACAGCCTTGAACTTCTTATCGTCTTTCATCCACTTCCCAAGTGCTGTGTCTCCAAACCCAGGGCTCCATGCATACTAGGCAAGCATTCTACCAACTGAGTTATGATCCCCAGGCCCAGCCACACTTAAAAATCTAAACCTTGAGAGTCAAAATAAGGACAGCAACTGATACTGAAGAAGTGTGTGGAGATCTTGTAACACATGACCCGGGTTACGTCAAACCCATTGCATGCACAAGACTCAGTTCACATAGAGTGGATGGATAGATGGCAAGTGGGTCAAATTATTAAAATATCAAGCTAAGATGTTAAAACTTTTACAGATGGACAAGCAGGAATCCAAGCCACAAGGGAAAGTGAAGATCAAAAAGGTTACTCTGCACTGCCTCCATCCCCCAGCCAATCTATGGAGGAGCTAGAATTAGAAAGTAGGTCTACCTCTCGGTGAGGTTCAAGCACTTAGAATGACATACTGTCTCTTTCCACCTGCACAATGCAAATGAACTCTTATGAAACTGCTGTTCTATCTTGGGCTAAGCACTTTGGAAAAAAGATAAAAATCTTTGGAATAAGGTTGTTTTGGCTCTTCCTCCACTTCTTGGAAAAGAAAGGCTTTGTCCCCTCGCTAGTTAAGTGTGTTTCTCTCCCTTCAGAGTGATTTGTCACCTGCTCTTGTCAAGTGTCGGGGTCAAAGTCCCTGGTTTATTGCATGTGGTTGCAGAGTCAGACATGCTTCCCAAAAGCCACCCCTACTGGGAAAGTCCCTGTGTGTCTTCCTGGCATTTGGGCCCTTTCCAACCTGATCTGTTTGCTTTTGATCCTGAAAAACTAATAATCATGAACCCTCACTGATGTCAGGGCCACTGCAGGAAACAATAAAGAGAGAAGGGGTTTTCTCACAGCTTAGAGGAAATTGTAATCTGAGACAGAGCAAATACAGCCTAACACTGAGTTCTGGACCTCAACCTGCCCACAAGGAACAACAACCCCCTCTTTAGGTCTGATGGAAGCCAGACCTGCCACGGTGGCTTATTTCCTTGTTCTAGATCACACAGATACTTGAAGTTTCTCTTTTGTTCACCAGGAACCAAGCCTAGGGGATTTCAAATTTTACCTGTACACACAGCTCCTATGCTGCTGTGTGACTTTGTGTGGCATGGTAGGAAGCCGCTCTCTGTACCTCTTGTCAACAGTTCCTCCCAGGTGAGCGGCAGTCCAAAGCTTAAGGAGCTCTCTTCTGTGCATGGCTCCATTTGAGTCTCACAGCCTGACTGGAGACTATTGTCAGCATCACTTTCAGTACAGGCTCTTTCAGTGTTGCTTTTCTCCCATCCAATATTTCTGTGGCTCCCAAATTCTTGCTTGAACACTAATTTGATCAGGATCAATACTTTGGCCATCTTAGACCTTCATCAAATAAATTACGGCCCTCAGAGTGATCAAACAAACAACCAAGCATCTTTCATGGCTTCCCTTTGGTCCCCACATTCATCCCCAGTAGCCTTTAAGACTAGCTATCAAAGAAGAGTTCCCAAACAGCCTCATTTCCCTGTGCTTTTCTCCCAAAGAGGCAACCATGACTACATAACGATAATAATGATACTATCCTTCCTGTAAGAAATGATGACATTTAAAGAGACACTTGTGCCCTTCCCTTTGGCTATCAGATTATTGAGACAATGAGTCCCAAGAATTTGGAAATCCCCCCCCCCCCAGCCTCATGCTAGAAAAAGAAAAAAGCTGAAGCCTGGTGCCAGTTAGAGGTGGAATTTGTCTCCCAGGAAGAGATTTCACATAGTTCTGACACTTTGTCAAACCACCTTGAAGCGGTGGGAGCCAAGACAATGGCTTGGCAGAACCATACCTTGAGTACGGTTGTCCTGTATTTAAACCTAAACCACATGACAAGACTCAGCAAGGATTTGAGTTGCTCACTGGATTTCTTTATTTGTTCTTCTTCCAATGTGGTCACACTGCATGGATCTTTCTTTGCCTTTCACTATCCTTGTTAAGTGTGCATAGAGGATCGATGGCTGGGCCTAGGTCGTTAGACCTACCAAGGCCCAGGATCTGACCCTAAGAAATCCAGGAACTCTCTCCGATCTCCAAACAGTCCACTTTTCTTCATCTTACATGGCTATGATATCATGGATGGCAATACCGGGACCTGAGAATCAGATTGCCTGAGCTGGCACACCATTACCAATACTCAGATGTGAAACCTTAGCAAAGTCCTCCATGAGGACCCCTTTCTTTCATGAAGGATTATAGGAAAAACATGAGACAAATGTTATAAAATGCTTAAATAGTGTCTTGAACAACTAATGACCAAACAAATTAATAGTTATTATTGTCTCCTAAATCATAACGATCTTGGCTTCTTTGTGTAACAGGTGTGCCTCTATCCATCCCTCACCCATATCTTTTGTGAAAACCATTCAAGTTCCAAAGGTTGGGTTTATTCTTCATCTCCCAGAGTTTTCCTACAAGCCTGTAGATACTGAACAAGTTTGTAATAAGTGCATTTAACATTAAAACTCCCAGTGATTCACGCTTCTTACCCACCATCGGGTGAGCTGCTGAGAGGCATAAACCATTTCTGATTCCTATTTAAGCCACTGGGGCCTAACAGAATCCTTTCTCCGGTGTCTAAGAAATACTAATTTCGGAAATAAGCCTCCATTTTGTGTTGTAGAAACTAATTGCTTGGCATTCAACCTGCTCACTCTGCTAATCTTCCTGCTTACACACCTTAGCCCTTCCTCCCCCAGCAGCCAGCATGATCGGCTCCAACGTCCATCTCATCTTTGCACTTTGAGATTCAGCCCAGCTTCCTGACCACAGCGCCCAAATCCTTGCAGCATCCAGCTTCCATCTGCACCTCGGATCCAAGCCTCTGCACCCTTGTTGTCCATCACCTGGCCTACTGCCCCTTACGTCACTCTGCTCTTCCTTGGCTTAAGTAAAATGTATTTTCACTTCTGGACTATTATTTTCTAGGCTTTACCAGTCACTTTGGCAAAAAAGAAAAAAAGAAAAGAAAAAGAAAAAAAAGCCTATTTGCCCTCCGATTGCCCTCTGTCATGTCTTTTCTTCCTGGTGTGGGCCAAACCTTTGGAACCACCTGCCTTTGATGCTTTTCTGACTGTCCACTGAGTTGAGAGCTCCACGAGGGCGGAGGCTGTGTTGTTTACTCACAGTGTGAGAGGAGCTGCTGGGAAGATGTGTGCTAAGTGAATGCACACAAAATAGATCTTTTGAGAGAAAACCCGTCCACACAAGAATCATGCAGGGATGACAAACCACTAGATAATAGGATTTGATGTGTTGTTCCTGTCAGAGAGGGGAGGTGGGCTTTTGTCAGGGTATCATGATGTGCCAGTCCCGCCTCCTCAGCACAAGCAGCAGGTCCCATAGTAAAAGATGAGCTAATTTGTGGGGAGCTTTTCAAATGCTCTATGAAAGTATTAAAACTATTAGGCAAGCAAGGGAGAGTCAAAGAAATGGATGATATGCCTGGACAGAGAAAATAGTTAAAGAACTGGTTTTTTTTCAGAGAAGCAGTCAGAGAGTGTACAATAGCTCCTGCTTGTATGGAATGAGAGGAATCTGGAGGGGGGAGGGGAATGGAGGGAGGGAGGAAGGGATGGAGAGAAAGAGAGGTGGAGAAGGAGAGGGAGAGAGACAGAGATCCTTGAATGAAATGGATAAAATTAACACTGAGGTTTATTATCTGCTATGTATAATCTGACAATAAAAAAATATTTACCAAGCACTCTGCAGTTTAGGGACATTTTTATGTACATAGTTTATCTCATTTGATAAGACCATTGAATGACAGGACAGCTCAGTGGACAGTCTACACAACCTAGTGTCAAGATACCTCGGTCTGCATCCTGTGCTGTTAACAGCCAGCTATGGCTTTTGGAGAGTTCCTTTGCGTCTCAGGAACTTGAGTTACCTTTTGATGAGATAAGGGTATTAGATGGTGTGGTCCTTAAAGTCATTCAGTTCACGCATCACAGTGACTTCTGCTTAACTGATGTCACGATTCTTTCCTTCTAGATCTAAGACAAAATGTTCCCACTTTGGAACTTTCTCGAGCATCAGTGCAGCTTTTTGACTCTTCCACTGGTGTTCCCAAAATCCAATTGTCTGAGTGATCCCTGTCTTAGGTGCTGAGGTAAAGAAAGAACATTCTGGTTCTCTGTGGTGTAGCAGTCCCTCCCCTTTAACTGAGCTTTTCTGATGCAAGTTCTGACTGTACCCCGGGTCGGAGGTCTCTCCCACTTCTTCTTACACTGTGATCCCTCCCACACCGCCACCAAGGACAGCTAACAACCTTCCTATGTTTCACGTTAGAACTCAAGGAGAGGTCTTCAGTGACCAATTTAGTAAGTGTTTTTCAGTCTTCGTGGGAGAAGGCTGGGGGCTTTCCCTGTATTGACATACCTAGTTCCCTCTTTAATATTTGCCTGCCATCTCTGTACCCTGCTAGCCAAGGAAGATATGCATAGGGGTGTCTGGATAAAAAGGGATGGAATGTTTGGGCGAGCAACCTTTCTAGTCCAGAATATAGAGGAACATTACATGTTTCTATTTCCCCTTCTATATCCTTGGTACCTTTTCGAGAAACCAATCTATCGGTACTTTTCATTCTTTGTGCACATCATCTGAGGTCTTGTTTTGTCCTTGATCTCAGCCAAAGAGACTGAAGGGCAGTGATGTCTCTGTGTGTAAATTCCAGGTCCCTGGACTATGACCCGTGTGAACTTAAAGATGAAAGCTGTTATGGTCAGACATTGAAATAAATTTCTTCTTTCCAGTCACAGCTTTCCAATGTGAAAATGGTCCCTTTGTAATGCAGATGTGGGTATTTGAGCCATGATCGCAAGATGTCATATACTCTCATGAGCCTGAAGAATTCAACCCATGATATTAAATGAGAAAGATGCTCTGGAGTTCAGAAGCACCAGCAGGGATGGGCATTCTTCCACTGGTCCCCAGCCTGTTAGTATTCAGGGCAAGCTACATACCTTTCTGCCTGCTGCATCTTCTCTCCTCTTTTTTTTTTGAATAATAAATACTTAGAGTTACATAAGATATAAGCTCAGCTGCAATGAGAGTTGGTGTCTAATGGTTCATCTGCCGCCCCCCCCCCTGCTTTGGTCTTCAGCTGTTGTCTTAGGCAAGCTCCTTCAAGAGAGAATGTCAAAGCCAGGCTGAATTTTGTTCTTAATGACATATTTAGGAATGTCTCAAAGTCAAGTTGATTACAGACATACCGGGTTTATCTTCCTTTGGCTGGTTTTGCTTTGCTGCCGTGCTTATAGCTGTGTGCCATCCACACACATCCTCTGTGCCTACCAATCAGACAGGCTACTTCCACAGATCACTGCCTAGAGACCATGACCTTATTACCAACTGCACCTTAGACTGCACAGAATATATTTCTAATCCAAAGGGAAAAGTGTATTGAGAGTCAGTCGCAAGACAAGCTGAAGACTTTCTTGCTGGTTCCTTTCTTTCCGGGAGGCAGCTTCCTTAAACATCGTTTTTTACAAGTCAACGAAAAAGCCCCATAGTTTTCAGCACCATGGACTCTATATTCCCCTGCCTACAAATCTAGAACTTCACACGTTAGCGGAGACGTTAAGACAAACCTCATTTTCTATATGCCTCCTTTGCAAACGGCTTCTCTCTGCTCGGTCTCTTTGCATCCCTGATGCGTCAGCCCTTTCTTCCTCACCCTTTCTAGGGGCTCTCTGGAGAGGCAAAGCGCCGCCAGTGGAGCTGAGCCCGCAGACCTGCCTTCTGATTGGCTGCCCGGCGCGTGGCTGGGCTATAAAAGAGACCCCTACAGGCTTGGGAGCTAGAGGCTCCGAGGATTCTGGCCGCATCTTTGCCTAGCAGAAGCTACTGTGCTCAAAATAGAAACCAGCACTCCTTCTGCTGCCTTTCTGTCCTCGCTGCGAATCCCACAGTTAAACACGATGTGCAAAGGGCTTGCAGGTCTGCCGGCTTCCTGCCTGAGGAGGTAAGATTGCTTTCTGTTACTGGCTAAAGTTCTGCATAGACTTTCTCAGTGACTTGCATGCTTTGCAATAGCTTCTCTCTAGGACTATCCAGACACTTTGATTTAGGGAGCAGGATCCTCAGATGCTGCTTCCCGTGTGTTTTATTTCGCATGCCTTTAGTTTGGAGACTGGTTCTGACTTCTAAGCTTGGTCCTTTAGTCAAGACGTTTGGATTACAAAGCAATAGGAGGTTTGGAATGTATCTGCACTCTTTTTGGTGATTCTTGTCCCTGTTTGAACATTGCTGAGCACCCAGAATTACGGCTCTCTGATAACACACTAGTTCTTGTGTGGGGGAAGAAACCCCAGAAGGAAGTTTGGAAACATTGTTAGGAGGCTTTTTGTGGCATTCTGCAGTCCCCATCTCTACCTTCACACAAGCAAGTGTGAGAATAAGAGAGGCTTTTCCAAACCAGATCCTATCTCTCTACCCCAACTCCAGCTGTTGATGCGAGAGGTGGCTGAGAAATAAATACTGATTGTAACATATCAGCTTAAAGTTTTAGAGGCACCCCGTGTCTTTTTTTTAAGGGTATGAATAAATCATTTCACAGAGCACTTACATAGTAGCTGGTTTAAAATAAAACAGGAGGCTAGTGTGTATTACATGCTTTTCTCTTGAAATTAAAGATCATAAGTGGGTCCCTCTGTGGGTTTACCAACTCCTCCTACCCCCCCTCCCCAAAGCATAGCATTTGTGTGTTACTGAGCCTGCCTTCCCCACATTCTACCATTCAGGAGTATAAACACATCAATCACTTTTTTAAAAAGGGAGGGCATCTGGAGGAGAGCAAGAAGGCAGCAGATGCCTTTTCACCTTCACTCTTAAGTCCCGGAGTTAACTGAAGTGAGCAATTCCAAGCTCCTGTCACATTATATAAAATTAGCCATGCAGAACTTAAGAGTGTCAGGACTTAGGTTTGCCTCCAACAAATAGTTTTGTGGACAGATGGAAGGAAGCATGTAAAAGGCTAAGCAGCTCTCATCTTCAGTGCAAGGGGTTGCTGGGGGTCTTATGTGCTCAAGTCACATGATTGGTGGTGGCAGAGGAAGGACCCCATCCAGGTTACCTGCCTCCAGTGACTTCTGATGTCACTTTTGTTTTTATTTTTATGATTCTGTTGTGATACAAGGTACTGGCAAGCATACTTTCAGCTCTTTTAGAAATGCACTTATTTTGTTAGTGTTAGCAGCAGCTGCTGGGGCTCAGGCAGAGGCAGCACACAGAGATAGGAGGTCATTTCTCTTTGGGCTGGATTGCAATGCATGCAAAGCATCACTTTAGAACCGTCCCAGCTCTGGTGATTTTATCTTGCTGTCACTGGGGAGGACTTTGTCATCAGTCAGAAGCTGAGGAAAAAGAGAAAGGAAGACAGCCTTGTGAGGGATGGAAAAGTACTACTTAAAGGGCAGCCCAAGAACAGTGCTGAGAAAATCCACTGATAAGCTACTGTTGTGGCAGCATCCACCCTAAAATGCCACTGTGCAGCACCCTTCTTTTTTACCTTCCAGGCAAGAACAACTCATTCTTTGTTGCCTTGGGAACACCATTTTTCTTAAACTATTTCATGGCTTCTGTAATAAAAGAGATAACAATAATAATAAAAAACTATCAAGAAAGAACGACGGAGTTGAGCTGGAAGTTTAAGTAGTCAGAAACTCTGCTATACCCTGGTTGCCTATTAAATGGTGGCAGTAAACTGGAAACTGCTCTAATTAAATAATTACTCACCTCAGTGATGACTCTGTCTTGCTTCTCCTATCCCAAAGCCTCAAAGACCTTTCTAGTGTGCATCTCTGTGTAATGCAGGTTTTTCTTCTCTCCCCACCCCCCTCTCTATCTGTCTGTCTGTCTGTCTGTCTGTCTGTCTGTCTCTCTCTCTCTCTCTTTTATTGCTTTTGTTGGAGATTGCTTAGAAACAAGCCTGATGGGGCTCAGCTTTCAGCCTGAGCATTTGTGTCATTTCTGCTCCTCTTTTCAGGGATACACACATAAGCTTATGCTCTGTACATGTGGGCACATGCGCACACATGGGTACACACACACACACACACACACACACACACACACACACACACACATGCTTAGGAACTGCTTGGCTACCACACTCAAGGCTGGCTGAACTCATTTTCAGTTTATTGAGGTGCTTCCATAGCTTGCTGGAGGAAATGTTCCATAAGGAGAAGGTGTCATGTTTTGCAGTTTCTGCATGCATTTCAAAAGAGCAGCCACTTATTAGCACTGTTTCACCAAAGATATCAAAGGTCAGAGGCAGACACAAAGCAATCTTCTCCTGGGAGTTCATGCTCCTGCAGCTCCCCTAAGGAAGCTGCTTCTGACCCACACAGCTGTCATGGACTCTCAAGCACCCACAAGTCTCTCTTTTAAAGAAATCTGTTTTTCATGTCAATTCTTGTCTTCTTTCTTGCAGTGCAAAGGATATGAAACACCGGCTGGGGTTCCTGCTGCAAAAGTCTGATTCCTGTGAACACAGCTCTTCACACAGCAAGAAGGACAAAGTTGTCACTTGCCAGAGGTGAGAGAAATGGCTTTGGTGAGGTGCTATTGGGTATTAACTGTCTAGTGATAGAGATGATGCACAAGAAGAGTGATTGCCAGGAAGGCAGGCCCTTAGTTGAGCCAGATTTGGATTAAGATGGCCTCCATTTCCAAGGTGAGGGCACACAATTATAATTTCAGCACTTGGATCATGAGTTCAAGACCAACCTGAGATTTATAACAAGATCTTACAACACACACACACACACACGAGAGAGAGAGAGAGAGAGAGAGAGAGAGAGAGAGAGAGAGATGGGGGCTCCATTTTCGTGGCAATCATAATTAGATTTTAAATCTCTACATATTTTATGAAAAAGGTATCCTAGTAAACAATAGATCATATCTCATCTTAGATTTTTGTTTTTGCTTCAGTTCCATGATATGTATTTGAATCATTCTTTTTTCTGTATTATCTTCAGGGTGAGCCAAGAAGAAGTCAAGAAATGGGCTGAATCACTGGAAAACCTGATCAGCCATGAATGTAAGTAACCATACCTCTTTCTCTCATCACAAAATAAGCACATCCACACAGAGAGAGGGACAGGATGAGGACAGCAGTACTCTGTATTAGGCAAAGTCATCTCCTAGCATGTCAATTTAGAGGGGACTGCAAAGAAGGCCTGGGTTGCCTCTGTCTTCCAAAATCAGGTCTGAGCATTTTAGTTTTATAGCTGATATGTTTCCGAGCATTGTCAAATTCAATGGAAAGTGTATTCAGGAAAAATCTGGATCATCAGTAAGAAAACCATCCCTCCCATTGCATAGACAAAAGGGCAAAAGACAAGATTCATATAATGAGATCTTCTAGCACAATGGACCACAACTCTCATTTCAAACCCACTTTGGCAGTTGGGAGCCACAGAGCTATTTCAGAATTACAGTTCTTTGTAAAATGATTCAATCTTGAGAAGAAATCCCTGTATAAAATAGGATCTTCTAGATATCAAATATTAATTTGGGCTTCCCTCTTTGACCTCCAAAAAGGGAATGAAGAGGGAGTTTCTTCACCTCACACTTGACTTCCTGAGTACCTTGGCTTTATTTGAAGTGTTCTATCCAGCTAGTCAGCCAGAGTGGTGACTGTGGCTCTTTGTCCTCTCTCACAGGTGGCCTGGCAGCTTTCAAAGCTTTCCTGAAGTCAGAATACAGTGAGGAGAATATTGACTTCTGGATCAGCTGTGAGGAGTACAAGAAAATCAAGTCACCTTCTAAACTAAGTCCCAAGGCCAAGAAGATCTACAATGAATTCATCTCAGTGCAAGCAACGAAAGAGGTAAGTTTCCATGGCAGAGAACTTTCTAGATCTTAGTGAAGATTCCTAGGAGTGGCATTCAGTGTCGGGGGAATCTTTAGATGTCCTAGTTAAATGAAACAATGGGATAGATTTTTACAAACTGAACAACATTTCAAGTAAATGTATTAGGAAAAGAAGTTAATTTTTTCATGTGATTTCAATGGTTCTCCTTAGTAAATATAATCATAAATCTCTCCAATGTGAAAGGCAGTAAAGGAAAATAAAGTGCTCTTCCCACTTAAGAGCAGAACAAACCTTTTATATTCTCATATATGCCAGGGCAGAACCAATGTCCCGAGCTTCATTTCTGGGAGGAATATAAAGGAAGGTTCCCTGCCATTTCTGGTTGAGTATAAAAGCCTTCAGCCTCCTCTCTTCAACAGGGATCTAGATCTAACACAACCTTGGTCTTTGTACTTCAGGTGAACCTAGATTCTTGCACAAGGGAGGAGACAAGCCGCAACATGTTAGAGCCCACGATAACTTGTTTTGACGAAGCCCAGAAGAAGATTTTCAATCTGATGGAAAAGGATTCCTACCGCCGCTTCCTCAAGTCTCGATTCTATCTCGACTTGACCAGTCCTTCTAGCTGCGGGGTAGAGAAGCAGAAAGCAGCCAAGAGTTCTGCAGACTGTGCCTCCCTATTCCCTCAGTGTGCCTAATTCTCACACCGAGGCAGAGAGTAGAAATACCAAGACTCTATGCTCTGGAAAATCTGAGGCCAAATATTGATCTGTATTAAGCACCAATGCTTCATCCACATTGTAGCCTAGCGTCCATGCTGCCTGCTGTGTGCGAGTCACTCCCATGTAAAACTAGACTTAGTTGCGGTGTTGGGGTTTTCATTGGGAAATGACCCAATTCATGTCAAATGTTCCCAAGTTTCCTTAAGGGTGTCATGTGAGCAAGTCTCCAAGTAACAGCCCTGTAGGTGTGGATTTTCAAAGATTGCTGGCAGTCCTCCCCTTCCCAGCAGTTTGACCTCAAGTTAGTTGGTTGGTCCACTTTATGTGACCACACGTGCACATGCAATGTCAGCCAGCAGCACTTCCTGTAGATTCTCGATGTTTAGGTGAGATTGGTGTATGTGTATATGTATATATTAAATATATATAATATATGCATATACATTTTGTATATATTGTACTTATGTATCCAAATGTATGTGAATGTATATCTGTATACATTCACACATGCACACACATTTCTACAAGAGTAGATGGGAAAGACCCTAGGTGCTCAAATTGGAGTATGTATACATGCTTCCACGCATGTTCTGATCTCTGGTCCTTCATACTTTGTTTGAACAGGGCAAACGAAATTAACTGCCATGTGGGCTAAGAAAGGAACACTGACTTGTGGAAAACAAGTTCTGTAAAACCATTGGGTCTTGATGGGGAATAATCAGGACTTCATGTTTAAGCACTGATGACAGCCTCCACATTGAGCACTAAACTAGGGGGTGAATACTCTGGAAACTCTACTGGCTGACACAAAACTGCCTTGTATCAATATCACGACTGGCACTTTGAAGTCCCTATGCTGATGGCCTTCCTCCTTTGCCTAGGTGCTCAGGGCCTGCCAATTAGCAGCTGGATTGGTCTGGAGTTGGGAGATGGGATATTTGAGCTGAATGAAGGAAAGAGGTCCAGGCCTTGATGACTATCCCTCTTGTGAGCCACAGGCTATGACCTAAAGATTGTCCTATTTCTTTCCTCTCTTGATAAGGTGCTTGCCTATTCCCACCCCCTGAGAGTGTCAACTGTCAGATGAGCCTCCTTAGTTTACTGTGGTTGGTGGTTCACTTTCAGATCCATGGCCTGGCTCAAGGCTACATGCCTACATTAGCAAAGCTTCGTCTTGGAAAGGTTTTGTTTTATAAGGAGGAAGTTTTCCCAAACTGAAAAGCCCTCCTTGCTTTTCTGCTTTGAGGTAAGACCTTGTCCATCCTACCCCAAACATCGAGGCTAGCAGAGAAAATAAAGAGAGAAGAGGACAGGATATCAGTTGGTAGGACTACTGTTTGGAACTTATCAAGGCACGTGAAATACTTGAAAATTTCTCATTTGTGTTATTTATGATGTTGTTTTGTACAATGTTTATATTATTGTGTTGTTTTATAAATGGAGGTACAGGATATTACCTGACTTACTGATGAATGCCCAGGAAGTAATTTTCTTCTCATTCTTCTGAAACTACTGCTTTTGAGAGCACACACACACACGGTACCCATTGCTCCAATCTAAATCAAATGCATGAGAACCACTGTGGCTAATAAGCCAATGTGCTGGGCTGCAATATTAAGACACTGGAGTAGTGTGTATCCAAATCTCATTGTATTAAGGAAATTGCTTTTCTAACTGTACCCTTCTTGTCTCTCTGTCCTGCTTGTAATGTCCCCACAACTTCCCATCAGTGTTCTCCATCCCATTTTTGTTAAACACAGTTCCACAATCTTGTTTGTACAACTCTTTGGTCTGGCCCCAATATTATATCTTTGAGATTGTGCCTGTACTCACAGACTGCTGTCTCACAAATAGGTCTGGAAAGTCATTCCGAATGAGAAGTAAATTATTTTATGTAAATACATTTTGAGTGTGTTTTCAATTGTATTTCCATTGCTCTTTGATATGGTGATCCTACCTGCTGCTGGGCCATGCAGAGACACTCCTGCCATATGCATGCCTGTTTCCATCATGTGCTTTATGGGCCTCAACATTGATGCTTCCAATGAAGCACACATACCTTGATATTAAGAATAAATAAATGCTTCCTACAAAACAATCTGCTTGGAAACATTAATGACCTGGAGAGGCACGTTGTGAGAAAGAGCAGGGTATAGGATGCCTTTAGAAAACGACTCACACTGAGTCTTTGGCCCCTTCCCTGCCAATTCTGGGAAGGAAAGCAGAAATGGCATCGGTTATGCTCTGGTTCGTTTCACTGCTCTGCCTGCTTCTGTTCACAGACCCAGGGCTGCTCTACGTTCGGAGACTGCTAGGCAGATTTGGTGGTCTGTTTGCAGGTTTTCAGTGGGCTTTAAAAACAAACAAACAGACAGACAGACAATAACAACAGGGTCTCATGCTGTATTCTGGGCTGGCTTGAAACTCAACTGTGAAGCCTAGTTTGTACTCAAATTCATTTTGATCCTCTTGTCTCAACCTCCCAAGGGTTGGAATGACTGACACAAACTTTCCCTGCCCAGACTCAATAGGGTTTTAAGGGATAGGGCCCACATTCTGAGCAGCTGTCTGCTTTCATCTACCTGTCTGAGTGACAGAAGGTGGATCATGGGGAAACCGAGAAGGCTGAGGTAGCTAGATGTGTCCGGGAGGCAGCTCCCAGCCACAGCTGCTCAATATCCTTTTGGCCCTTTGCTGATTTCTGAGGAAGAGGTCACAGAATCTGGAATCAGTGCTTTATCATGTCATAAGACCTCCATTTTCTGGTTCTTTCCTTTCCTATTATAAGAGTTGTGCTCACAGGGCAATAGGCATAGATGACTGTAGACATTTTTGAGTAACAATCCTTCTACAGTTCTGGCAGAAACCCTGGATCCTATACTTAGAAAAGTACACAAAGGAAGCCAAATTTCTCATAAATATTTATACAAAATGTTTTCAACCCACCTCTCCAAACATGGATTGAGATCTCTCTGTTCTCCTTCTCATGTGCTCTTGCTTCTCACAACAGCCCTGAGGTAGAGATGTCAATCATGAGCTCTTTTACAGATGAGGTAACTAACACAAAGAAAAAGTCACTTGCCATCATGCAAGCAATGGAGCTGGGATGTGCACTGAGGCATTATGGTCCATGAAGGACAAGCCAGAGATTCGCAGCACCCTCCAAATAGCCACATACAGATGGACTAAAAGCACCAAAAGGTGTCACTTGTAGTCATATCAATCAAGAATGGATACAAAACATATTCACTAAGGAAAAGGGAGACCTTTTCCTTTCCGGCAATTTCTCAGGCTATACATTCCAGAATGTGCAGGCACACGATGGAGGAGTGTTGGTCGTTAGATAGTGTGTGGGTTCTTGGCTGTAACACTACTACACTACTACTCAGATCAATACTGAGATCTGCCTTTTTAAATACTGCACTATTAATTTGTGTGTTTGGTGGTAGTGGTGGTCGTGGGTTTGGGTGGGGGGGTTCCAAAATGCGGTATCAGATGCCTTATTCATCTCTATAGTGGTCTAAAAACACAAACTAGACTTTGTTGGGGGATTCTTCACAGTGTGCCTTGCACTGTGTTTTAGAAATTTAAATTTTTATAAAGATGACAGGAATAGAAGAAAAGAAAAGGGGAGAAAGAAAGAAAAGACATGGGGAATAAAGAACCAACTATGTTTTAGCTCAGGTGAAATACATGGGCAAAAAAAGGAATCATTCCAGCAAAGTAAATCTGAGTCAGGTCATGTAATGGATGTGACCAGTCAGCTGCAGAAGCCAGCAGTAGATCCACTAAATAGCCCCAGCCATCCCCGTTTAGAGGCTGAATTCAAACCAAGAATCTGCACAGGTCTTTAAACACAAGATGATAAGTTAAAAAAAAAAAAACTGTTGTTTTAGTTGATACTGTTTTGCTTCTTTTATGCCTACATGGTTCATAGAAATGACATGAGAAAGGAAAATACTGGGATTTTTTCCTTTCTGTTAGATATGAGAAAATTGGGTGTGATGGCTTAGTAATCATTTACCTTTAGAGCCCAATTTCGATTGTTTATGCAAGGGGCTAAGGGAGTCAATATGAAAGGCTAATGGCTAATACTGATGAATGATGCTTGGAGAGAGGATAAGGCTTCCAAAGGAAGCTGACAAGTGCAAGGTCTCACCTTACATGCACGCCATGAGTTCTGAGGGCCAAGTAGGGGCCAAAGGCTACATTATCTTGTTTAACCCTGGAGCAAGATGGTCTCAGTGCTGCTTCATCACAGATGGGACGTCTTGGATACAGGAAAGTTCTGAGATGTACCCAGTAGTATATACTCAGAAAAGAGGTAGAGCTTGAGTCTAATCCAGTGTTTACATCTTTCATTAGTTGAGAAAGAAGAAAGGGAGAGGGAAAGAGAAAAATAGCGAGATAAAATGATAAGACAAATGGAGCAAAGATGGAAAGAGAAGAAAAAGAAAGGGGCCAAGGAAATGGAAGAAAGGGACAGGAAAAGGAGAGGGAATCAAAGGTAGCTTTTTATGAAACAGGACGAAACGCAAACCACCCGTCATCTCCATACATAAGCTGGCTGGAGCACTGAGCACTTCTGGGGTTTGCCTATGTCTTGTCTGCAATGGGGCAAGTGGGAATTATCCCCAGATCTTGTCAGAGGTGCATTTTGGAAGCCAGCATTAGATACTAAGGACAGCTCTAAGCGTCACTTTCCTGGTTCCTCTTTGTTCTCTGAACTTGCCAGATTAAATACCATTCTTAGAGCAGCAAATAGACAAGTGCATAAAACAAAATTTAAAAAGGATAAAAGCTATCCTAAACTCTTAGACTCTGATTTGAATTTACAGGGGGTGGGGGTGGGGGTGGGGCATTACACAACAAAGCATGCAGGAATTACATGCAGCCAGGACCACAGCTGGAAACAGGCATGAGCCCATGGTCCTCCTCACGTTCCTGCCTCCCCTCTGGGAGGAAGTCAGTAGGTT